GCACTCCAAAGTTTTATTTAAAAACTACATGTACACATATTTGATATACAGATTAATCATTCCTTTTGCTTCAGCTCAATTCTCACGTAAATCATCATGGTATCAGAGTCTCGGTAATTAACCATGCCGAACGAAGAAGGTTTTGTGTCCGGCGATAGTGCCGGACAAGGTGAATCAAATACATATGGAGAAAATCGTTGCAAACCCATGGCAAAAGTACATGCTCCTGCGGTTGAAAACTCAAAAATATCACAGCCAATTAATCATGTTGGGGACGGAAGTCTTAGATAGTCCACACCTTTGCCAGGTTTTTCCGCCGAACAATGGAAATCTTTGATTTCAACATTTGGCAACCTTTCATCCTCCTCTAATGATCGAATGGATGGTAAGTTTGATACGGATGCTTGGATAATTGATACTGGAGCCACTAATCATATCTGTGGAAATTTGACTCTATTATGTCAGATTAAAAATATTGAATCATGTACGGTTGGTCTGCCAGATGGGCAGACGGTTATGGCCAACAAAGCAGGACGTGTGATTATATCAGACAATTTAATTTCAGAACATGTTCTTTTTGTTCCAAATTTAAATTGCAATCTTATATCTGTTCTTTTTGTTCAATTCACTCATAACGTATGTGTTATTCAGGACCGTCTCTCGAGAAAACTGATTGGAACGGGTGAGGGGCGAAATGGACTGTATTATCTACGGGAGGATTTTACTGCTCGAGTTTTGACTGTTAGAGGAGGAGGTTCACATAATAAGATTGTGGAATTGTGGCACCAGCGACTAGGACATCCATGTTCAAAGGTGATGGAAAAATTAGATCCTGTGAGTGGAATAAAGAATTCTGAGATTTTACCTTGTGATGTTTGTTTTAGAGCTAAAGAAACTAGCTAGGGATCCTTTTCCGATTAGCTCTAGTACAACTCATGATGTTTTTGAATTAATACATTGTGATTTGTGGGGACCTTATCATACTCCTTCATGTGGTGCTAAACAATTTTTAACTATAGTGGATGATTATTCTCGAGCGGTATGGGTTTATCTTCTTTTGGATAAAAGAGAAGTGTTTAAAATGTTCTTGTCTATCGTAGCTATGGTTGAACGTCAGTTTGGTAAGAAACTTGTTGTTGTAAGGAGTGACAATGGCACTGAGTTTAATTGCTTAAAAGATTTTTTCCGTCAAAGTGGCATTATTTTTCAAACATCCTGTGTTGGTACACCCCAACAAATGGACGTGTTGAACGCAATCATAGGCATATTTATTTTAAATATAGCTCGTGCGTTGAGATTTCAGGGGCATCTGCTGATTACTTTTTGGGGCGAATGTGTATTAACTGCGGCACATCTTATTAATCGCACTCCTTCTGCAGTTCTGGAATATAAGACACCATATGAAGTTTTATTTGGTGTCAGACCCTGCTATAAATCTTTGCGTGTTTTTGGTTGCCTGTGTTATGCCTTTAATATGAAATCAAAAGGTGACAAATTCACTAGTCGGAGTCGCAAGTGCGTTTTTGTGGTATATGCTTTTGGAAAGAAAGGCGGGAAAATATCACTTATAGACTTAAACGGGAGAATTATATCATTTATGTCACCATTTAAATTTTCTTTCAAAAATAGATTAGTAAACTTTTTCTTTTCAAAAATAGACATGTCTTCATATACCCGTTCCGTTCACTGGAATCCATATTCACAAGAAGCCACGTCATCAGCACCTTATTTGATACTCCGTAAAATAAAACTTCGTCTGTCGTACCAGCGAGCTAAGCTCCAGGTTGACTTAGTTTTAGGTTTTTTATAAGAAAAAATTGTACCAACGTACGGACATGTAAATAAATTAAAATAATCAAAAGTAAATGTAAATGAAAAATTTAAAATTAAAATATTAACAATATTAGAAGTAAGGAAAAAACAGAAAATGCATAATAATAAGTACACAGCCTAAAATTTATAAATTACTTTTGAAAATAGAAAAGGTATTTAAAAAATACGTATTGAAAACACCTTATAAAAATAAAAACCGAAAATAAAAATGAATCAATTGTGGATTGGTAAGATTTTTAAAAGAGTTTGTATACACCATAATTTATATAAAAATATAAAAAATTAAGAAAATAAAATTGAAACAATTTTTTTGAAATCAATACAAAAAAGGGAAGTATAAATTGTACTCCCTCCGTCCCGCTAATATTGTCTCATTTTAACTTTTCGGGAAATCCCACTAAAATTATCTCATACTACCTCCGTCCCTTAAAACTTTGACAAAAATGACCGGCACGAAGAATAATAAAGTAAAAATTGTGTGATTGAGGTTTGTGCAGAGGAGAGAGAAATAACAGAAACCACAAAATAATAGATTAAAAGAGAAAGTGGCCAAACTTTTTGGAACGTCCGAAAGAGGAAAGATAACAAAGTCCTAAGGGATAGTGGGAGTATCAAATTTGGTAAAGTTTGTGTAGCTATAAATCATTCTTACTTTATCAATTAATATCAACTATATATACTTACTTTTCTTAATAACCGTGCCACCCCCTTCCGTCTAAATATTAGTGGGACGGAAGTAGTAACAAATAGAAAATACGTAAATTATATTTAAAAAAATCTAAAATCATAAAAATTATAAAAACTTAATTTTTTTCCTTTTGTTGATAAATCTGAATATTACATTTTTTTATTGTTTCTAATTGTTTTTATATGCATATATTTAAAATTATAATTTTAAGTGTGTTCACACAAATTTTATAAGTTTTTGTTTATTTTGAGGAAGTAGTCAAGATAAATATAAACCTAAATATTAAATTACAAACAAAATCGACAATAAACAACAATAAGCAACACATTGCAACAAAGAACAACCCAATACAACAAAAAGAAACACAGTGCAACAAAAGAAAACAAGTCTGATACAACAAAATGAAACAACAAACAACAAAAAAATCACAACTAATATATATTTCAATCAATTATTTAATTTATATCATCTATCTATTATACTATTTGGCTTTGCTTGATCACATTTCTTCTTCCTTGTATGTATCTTAACGCAGAATCCATCAGATTTGTTTCTCCTTTTTTAATGTGCCAAAATAAGAAAACTAACCTGATACAACAAAAAAAGAGACACCATGCAACAAAGAGAAACAAAAGCACCATATTGAAGTATCATAGTTTTTGAATATGTATTCCCACATTTAAGATGAGAAGTGTCCTTAAAATACAACAATTTAAAATATCATGCTACTAAATTGGGCATTTGGTATATATGCCTTCAAAGTCACCTATAAATAACAATAAGCAACATAATGCAACAAAAAACAACATGATGCAACAAAGAGCAACATGATGCAACAAAAAGCAACATGATGCAACAAAAAGCAACATGATGCAACAAAAAAATCATATACAATGCAACAAAAAGCAACAAAAATAACATATAAAAGCATCACAACTAATATATAACTCAATCTATTATTTAAATTTTTTACATTTATGTAATACATTATTTGACTTCGCTTCGCATCATTTCTTCTTCTCTTATACATTACAACACACAATTCGTTCATACTATCAATGTTATTATCATCTTCATGTTCTTTCGGGAAGAAAGAAACTTCTCAATGTTTCATGAGATTCTCCCACAATGTTCAACAAGATTATACACAAAGAATTATCAGGTGACATTGTTTGTGAGGTTGATCAGGTTTTGGCTTTCAAGGACATAAACCCTTAAAGCTCCAGTGCACATTCTTCTTATTTCAAAGGTGAAGGATTGATTAACTGGTCTCTCTAAGGCAGAGGAGAGACATTGTGATATTCTTGGCCGCCTTCTTTCAACTACAAAGATAGTAGCTAAACAAGAAGGTCTCGATGAAAATGTGTTAGGGCTTGTGATCAATGACGGAAAAGATCAGTCTTGAACCATGATGTTTTCACCCATAGTGTTTTTAGCACCACAAAATAAAATATAGCAACAAATATTAAGGACAAGTTGCACAGAATGATTGCAACTGAGCTCAGTAATAATAATTGTGAAGGAACACAATGGCAGCAGTACAAATTTCAAACCAAACGATCCGAAGAATGAAGAAATTTTAGGAAACAAATCAATTACGGAGTAAAAGCATAGTTACAGTAATAATACTCCGTGATAAACAAAGGCTCTTCACTACACAATCTCTACACTGATATCGTATAATATCCTACTAAATCTTCCTGGTATAATATCCTACTAAATCTTCCTGGAAATGAAGGAGCCTAGTATGTGCTTTTCATCCATCTTGTATGAGAAGATAACTATGATGTTCAAACTGCCTCTTCCAAATAAAATTACTTACGGGGCAGAATATCCATGAATGAAAAGTCATGGGAAAGAGGGCTTGGAGAAATGTGTTTTTAAAAGGAACATTAGAATATAATCAGCAAGTTTATGCAATTACTATTAAACCAGAAAATGTGTTTTTTAGATTAGAATCTTACATTTTTTAATATGTTTTAAGCATATTAGTTTAAATGAACATTTCAATCTTGCTAAGTTTTATAACATGAGGACCATCAACAATCAAAATATGTCTGTTCTGACAAATAATCATTTTTCCGGGCATTTAAGTCATCAACATATAAGGCATTGGTCAAGCTACATGTTAATTCATCCCTCTGAAACTATCCAATCGGTCCACTCTCATAATTTTATACGAAGTACTTATAAGAAATTCCTTTATATCACGCAAACTAGGAATGTTTTTATTATATTTATTTTCCTTCCTTTCTTAGTTAACCTTGCAGCTTATTTTATTCCTTTGTATAGGCTTTGCCTTTGAGATGTAATACACACAAACTACTGTCAATAATAGAACTCAATTTATCATCTCAATATTGCGTGAGTTCACAAATTCAGTTGACCTTGAATTTTAAATTAATATCATGACAAACAAACACGAGAACTCTACACGACGTCACTTGGGAATCAAATCTACAAGTGCTTGAACTTTAACTTCTGATAAATTGGTTGATATATATACAATTTATGATAATATCTTACAATTGACATCAATTCATATGAAGACAAGTTAGTAAAAGCAGATGCCATGAAGAATTGAGAAAACTCAAATCCTTATCATGGGCATGATAAGGATATTTATGAGCGATTTTCTAGGGAATCTAATGGAGCCAGAACGAGCTGGTATGATTCTGATAATCCGACCTCGAAATTTCCAGGATTGGGAAGCGTACCAGCGAGCGCCGACAGCTACGGAAACGGCGGCTCCGGTGGCTATTTCGTGAGTGGTCAGTTTCCGAATTGCACATTGAGAATCTCACAGTCCCACCTTCTCCGCGTCCTCAGATGATGGAACCGAGCTCATCAATCTCTTTAATGGAAGAAGTTGATCGCCTCAACTTTCCCCATTTTTGTACCGTGAGAGTAAATTCATCCCACAGGTTCTTAATCGGGAAGAGGGGATTTAAAATTGAGGTTAATACCATTTTTGAAATAACAAAACAAAAGTGAAAACCGGAAAGGTTACGGATGAAAGAAAAAGTATTGGCGGCTATAAATGAAATCCAGAGGGCAAAAGTAGCCCAAACGGGTAATTTCCACAAGAAAGGCTGGACGGTTTAATATGAAATCAAAAGGTGACAAATTATTATACAACTCTAATTAAAAAAAGAATTTCCTTGCAAAAAAATAATGATAAAACAATACTCCAGGTCATAAGGACGGAACCAAGTGTTAGCTAGTGGTGTCAAATGACACCACTTAAATTATTTGATCATAGTATATAAATATAGATCGAAAGTATAAAAAATGACACCTCTATTTTTTATAAACAGTGTCAATATATTAAAACATCCCTCCCTATCTCACAAATTGTTCATGTATGATTGAAATAACAATGTTGATTAAGTATGCTCATCTCATGCTTTAGAAGTTTCTCTTGTATTTGCATATATTACTTCCCTTCTAAGTTTGAACTTCCTATATAGCATGATTAAGAAAAAGGGAATACTGTCAAATAAGTCCCCGAACTTTCATAAAAAAGTCAATTAAGTCCTTCTATAAGAGACTCTATCCGGCCATCGCGATTTGGGGAGGTTCCCGGTG